ATGAGCTCATCTACTATTATTTTAAGGATTCTTCTCAAGTGTCTACAACCTGAACAATACAAAAGTATAACTTACATGTAACGTTTGAGACCTCGAAATAATAGAAGATGAGCTTATATTATCTTGGTACATTTGTCTACCGTTCTTGCTTTGTTCAAGTTTTAGTCCTTTTTTTAATAATAATAATAATAATAATAACAGCTTTATTCCAAACAGTATTTGTAGTACAGGTATGGAATTTTCAGCGTGCATTACAATATATTGCATCTGATTACCTCATAAATTTTATAAGATTCTAAAATCAAAAAGCAACACCCAAAAAAAAAGAAAAAGGATAAATAAAAAACAAGATGTCAGCAGACTTCTTAAGGATAACAGCGGGAACACCATCAGGGAGGAGCAAGGGACTGAGTAGGTTGGAGAGATTGAAGACACTTGAGGACATCATTCGTGTAAAAGCATGAGAAGCAGTCATTATTTACTCTATTTGAGTTAGGAATCATAACATCTGTATGGATACATATGAAGGATTCATTAAGCATGTCAGCATCGACAGAAGTATCATTCATTATCTGCTTACCACCTGTGATTTCCTTTAATAACTTCCACATATTAGATGGGGATTTACATGAGAGAAACTTCTGGTTATAGAGAGCATTCAATCTTTGTAATTCAACTTTAATCAAAGTGTTCACACTCTTAACACCAGATTTATTTTTCATTTTGAACAACCTCTCTTTTTCACAGCGAAGCTTTTTGAGTTGAGAAGAGGAGAAGCGATCGAATTTTAAGAAGATTGTCTCTTTTGGACAACAATAAACATCAAGACAGAAATTAAGATAATGTGTTATGTTGGTAATTGTGTTATCAAGAGCTTGTTCAGTAAATAAATCCCAGTTTATGCCTTTTAACATGGTCCTTAGATTCAGTATGTTGTCATGAGAATAAAATTTTTTGAGAAGTTGATATTCCTCATTGCTGTACGTGTACCGTCAGTTGGTTTCAGAGTTAAGGTGGTTACTTCTAAGAAAATGAAAGTTTCTCATCATAGGAAAAAGGAAAAGTAGAATAATAGTTTAAATAAAGATTAAATTCAATCTGAAATAAATAGAAAAGGTATTCATTCATTTGTTAAAAGAAGTGAAATATAAATTTACATATCATTATTCTGTGTAACAATCACCTCTAATTATTGACCATAAGATAAATAAATTCACTTTTGAGTATCATCAAATGTACTTAGAAATCTCTACCAGAGGAGAAAAGAAAAACTGCATTTGGTGGATTAACTTTGAAACTATTAAGGTTGATAACATAAATTTTCACTTTTTTTCTATACTAAATGTTTCCCTGTCATTGAACTGTTTAATAGCACTATTCCAACGATGAAGAAGTAAGCATAAGCCAGCTAGCTGACTAGCTAACTTTTGATTAAATTTACAAACAGTGTTTCACTTGACGTCATTTCTCTCCTTGTGTCCATTTATCTGTACCAATTTTATACTGCTCTTGTTTCAAACTAATTTAACTGATCATGGGATGTCTGTCTGTATTTTATGAATTTGTAACAAAAAAAATACCTATTTAAATATGTGTAAGTAAAAATGAAATAATGTAAGCGCACCTATAGCAAATAGATCTTTGTGTGAATTTGTTTTATCAGTAGTAAGTATACCATTACACAGAAAGCTTTTGCATACACACATCACTGTTTGAGTGTGTTGTTGTTGTTGTTGTGGGAATTAGCAAAAGCATTTAGCATAAATTCGGTCATTGTATCTGCTGGAGTTTTTCCCCACACCTAAACGACACAAATTTTTTTTCACTCTCCTATTCCTTTATTTAAATTATTATGGGACGTAACATTTTATCTGTTATTACGTTGGAACAATGAGTCACGTATTATCAAGTGATTAAGAAACCTATGTAGGATTAGGTGTTGGAAAAAAGAGCTAGGGGGGTGGTCAGACGAAAACTTGTCATCGGACCATGAAGTATTTGACAGTTAGTTTTAGCCGCGTAGAGGAAGGTGTAGAGTAGTGTTTGGTTGGGTCATCAAGATCATTCTCAAATGGATTGGATACGTTCACTCTTTCTGATATCCCATAAGCATTATACCTTCATATCTATCTATGTTACCATCCTTTCTACTTAGAGCGTTGGTGGCAGAGAGGTAGGAAGCTCGCCAATCACACCTCATGTGGTCCGGGGTTCGAACCCCAGACGACGCACCCCCTAAAACCTCGCTAAGCCAGTAATAAGACTGGTAAAAATAAACACCACTGCTACCAAAACTTCAAGCCTCTACCTTAAAGCCGTATGTTCCACTGGGAACATAAAGGAATGAACAAAATGCTTTCTCCCTAACATTACCATAGTTCTTTTGAATCTCTTTTTTCTTCCTCTTCTTGTCTTTTGTCATTTTACACGGATTGATTGATCTACTGCACTTCTGCGCAAATTTTTATATTTATTCAGGTGGTTAAGACAAGAAAATTGTTTTAGAAACATGTTTAATCCTTGTCATTTTTATAATGAACAATGATGAGAGATCACTGTTGTTATTGTTTAGTGAGCTTAATTTTTAATCTTTGATGGTGTTATGTGTGTGTATTTTCATGTTGAGTTTCAGTCTTTCTGTATAAATATAATAGTTAATATGATAAATGAAAAGGAAATATGTAGTAAAGATTTCTATCTGAACATTATTCACTTTGAGGTCAAATAGTAATTTTTGTGCGTGTCGTGAGCGCTAATCACTCGGTCATATCATTATTATTATTCATTTCGTATGGATTCATGAACTACCGACTGAGTGGTATTTGGTCTTCAGTTTAATCAAGTGAATTATGTTTGTTCACTTGTTTGTATGTTTTTAATGCAAGAAAACCAAATAGACTAAATGTATTGTTGATAACTAATGTCATATTTTCTTAGTATAGTTTATCAACAAGGCTGTCTAATATATTACGATAATTCATTAAGAAAAAAACGTAAACCAGCCTTAACATCAAAGGTATTGTACATTATGGAGTCGAAAGAATGATGGGATGGTAGAAAAAAGAGATGGTCATGTTATTTTCCATTGTAAATGTTGACCTTTCAGCTTTATTTCAGTCAATCCAATAGACATAATGTGGAATATATGTATATATCATCGAAGTATGTAATAAATGTGAAACCAATCACAGATGAGAAGGAATATTTGTTCATAAGTCTTTAAATCATTGAGGATGTGGTTAGACTGTGGATTACCATGAAGAGAATCTATAATGCCGCCAAGATTTGCTTATCATTGCTCAAGTGTCATCTCCATGTACAGTAACAAATTTAGCTGCTTCTATGGTTAAAGTTATCTAGTGAAAGCAACTCGACAGCTTAGTAAACGAATTGCTGAGCAGTTTCCGCTTTGGCTAGGAAGTGATCAAATAAACTCAATATAAGTATAGAAGAAAAGCTCAATTTTGTCTCATTTGATTGATACCGGCATCATGGTGGTATTTTCGTCGGACCCTTCAAGAATGGCAATCGAACTCACGTTGTATACGTAGCCTACGCTGTAATAACCCATGAGAGTAGGGTTAGTCTGTGTGTCCGGAAGAATTTTTTCCTGCTTTTGTCATTTCTTTGGTCTGTTATGTTATGTTATGTTATGTGAATCTCTCATAAAAACTTCTCAAGTTTTCTTTTTCCTTCACCTCGTTCATAAATTGACCATGTTTATTTGAAGTTTGTTTAACCAGCCCCTTCATCTATAGTATTGGATAGAATTTCTAATTTTATAAAATATTAACCTACTTTAATTATCAAAATGTTTACACTTATATCATACAGTCTGTATTATTCTTATCGGCATCGATATCAGCTTTTAACACTTATGGCTTCATTGATGTTGTTGTTTACGTTTTATCATTGACCACCTACAAGTCACTCTACTCTCATTGGCTAAAATTTCATATTTTTCTTAATACCATGTGTATGAGAGTAAAGTCTGAGAAAGAGGATCTAATTGAAAACGATATGTTGTTCATTTATGCCTTTTGTTTGAAATATAACAATGAGACTGTTTAGATAAATATTGAAGATTGAAATGAAGAGATACCCCTACCATGGTAATCTGTGTATTGCAGATAATTTAGCGATATGAATCATAGGAGATTGAATGTAATTAGTTATTCCGCGATCTGTCTGCCTATCTGTTTTCGACAAAGAACTTTCCACCGTTGTGAAGCAGTTCAAGTCGCCACACTTCCTCCATGTAGCACACAAAGCAACACAAGAAAGTGGAAGAAATGCATAATAGAGACAGTAAACAGAGGTGTGAGAAAAAGGAATGGTAGTAACGAAGAACAATGTAGTTTCATTGGAAATTATAAGTCACAAGGAATGGATGCATCTGCGTTAGCCATTGAGAACGATTTTGAGCCATGTCACCAATTGTTTCCAACCATTGGTTTTTACTGTCCCGAGGACCCCAACCAGGAAGCCAGTCTACACCTTCCTACATGGCTTAAACTAACTGTTGTGGATTTCATTGACTGGTGAGGCCATGTTTTTGTTTGACCGCCGCAAGCTCTTTTCCAGCCTGACCCTATGTCAGATAACATTGCCCATTGTCGAGGAAGGCGATGACTAGGCGTGCATACGTAACACATGTCCTAACCATCTCAGTCGATGTAGCTTCACAGCCTCGTCGATTGATTTCCCCTTCTTACCTCCTTATTCCGCGATATTTTATGATATATCAGGGCATCACTTTGATGTTTATGTGGCTAGGAAGATTGTGTTACTCTTTCGCTAATTAGTTTCAGTGGTAAACATTGGTCATGATTATACATATATATGTATACTAGTTGTGGCTTAATAAAATACAATTTGTGACGAAACAATTACATGATATCCATATACTAGTTGCCTTTTTTTAATGATTATTTTGTTTTATTTTCATCTCATTGTTTGTCTTTTCTTTTTTTCTTCTTTGTTGTATGTACATATTTCAGTGTTCACAGATGTATTTATTTGATTCATCAAGTTCATTTATTCCCCAATTAAAATCTGAACCAATATGTGAAACAGATTCAGCATATAATGCAATGCATTCATTAGGTTTAGATTTATGTCATGGTAATACAGGTAATACAATTTTAGAACCAGTTACACAATTTGATCCAATAATTGCATCTGTTGTTCAAACTGCTCAACATCATCCTCAACAACATCGACAACAACACCATCACCACCAACAACAACAGTCTCAAGCGACACATCATCAGCATCCTACTCATCAATATTATCATCATCAACAACAGCAACATCAGTATCATCATCATCAACAACAACAACATCCTTCGTTAAATCATCCTGGAATACCATCCTCGAAGACACTGGATTCATCTACTCCACCTATTGGATTAGATATAGACGATTTTCAATTTGATGATGTCCCTATGGAATAATGCTAATGGTAATAGTAAACATTAAGGTTAACAGATTTTTAGATTATATATATATATATATAATTTATGTATATGTATATACTACTTATTTTTATTTTCTTCTATTATAACTATTATAACACATGCAACACCATCCATGGAAATGATCCCCTTTTTCGATTAGCTTTGTTCTGCTGTTCTTCTTGTCTTTTGGTATTATTGTCATGATCATTGTTATTAGTATCTATTATTGTTTCCAGTGCTGTGCCGTTTACAATGCTTGCTTTCACATTTGTTCTCTTTATTCTCTGTATTTGAATTTTTGTGTGTGTCATAATTGTCTTTGAACAGAATAAACAAATAGATAGACACACAGACACATACACATATTAACTACTGTGTGTGTCTGTGTGCGTGTGTGTGTGTAATATAAGTGTCTCATTGTTTTGTGTGGGTGTAGGCACATAATATTTAGCGCCCCATCTCATCCATGAAAAAAAATGGATAAGATTTCTCATTTTTCTTCTCCTTATTTTTAAAATAAGAGTAAATTATGAAAGAGAATCATTGTAGCATTTGTTTTCACCCTGCTTTTTTTCTAACAATTAAAGGGATTACTTACAGAAACAACTATTATTATTATTATTATTATTATTATTATTATTATTATTATTATTATTATTATTATTATTATTATCAGTCTAGTCGAAACATTCACTTTTTTTCTCGTTTTAAAATCTGTGCCTTTTTATATCACAAAATTATTACTATGATTACTAATTATTATATTAATTATTATTCTTACGTTTATATGATTGTTTTTATTAGCATTGGGATGATATACATATGATGTATATATATATAACTCTGCATCATCTTTGTCTGTGTGTGTGCGCGCATGTATCCCTTCTTAATCCTTCAGTGTATAGATGATGAAAAGCTGTGTGTATAAAAGTACTGTGGCAACATAACAAACTGTCTGAAATTCAGATAGAGACATTCATCCATACTTTATTGGCATTCTTCAATTGCTTCAAAGTGTATTTTTTTTAAAGAAGGGAACTTGTTTTCCCGTTTGTCCACTATCATCTGTCTCACACTCTCCTCTCTCTCTCTCACACACACACTCGTGCGCTCAGATTAACTCTTACCGAGTTCTCTTTCTTTTATTTGATGTATATTCCACTGAAAACTTAACAAAAATAGGTCGTCATTCCTAATTTTGTACATGTGTGTCTATAGTCACCTGCGGATTGGTTAACGTTTTATTTCATTTTTCAATAGTGTGCACAACATATTATTATGCATGCATGTATATTTTGTGGAAATCATTATTATTACTATTTTGATAATCTCATCAACTTTATCTTCTTTTATTCGTCTCCTCTTGGATAATATAAGGATACAGACGAGACAATGTATTTTTTTTGCTTTCACATTATAACAAGAATAAAATACTCATTTTATTATATATATAGTGATCTTCAGTCATACTGTGGTTGGTTTCACCATCATCGTCGTCATAATCGTGATTATTACTGTCGACGGTGGTGTTGTTTTTTTCTATTGCAGAGCCATTCTCTCTCTACTATTTTCACAATAACTCCATTGATGTTGCTATTCCCTCTCCTCCAAACACCCCCCCCCATCCAGAACTTCTCTGATAACCATTCAATCCTTCTACGCCAATTTTTTCTCTCTCCACTTTTCATAATGTTGCCATATTGCCAATTGTTTCTTTTAGGTTTTTCCCCTTAATGTGTTTTGTTTTTGTAGATATTATTTACTTGAATAAAACGTAATCATTATCCAAACAACTATTACGTTTCTCTATGCATATTTAGCCGAGAACAGATTTGTTTGTCTGTCTGTCTATTTGGGTGTGTGTGCGCGCGCCTTTATTGTCTACGTTTGAATATTGAAAATACGAGAAATGTGTGAAATTATTGTGTCATGTAATATTTGTTCTAGGCTGACACTCATTGACCACATAGACACCTATTCATCCATGTGCTCATTCATTCATTCTGAATTTTGGTTTAGTTGGCTCTGGTACTTTTTAAATTGTAAGAGAACTGATTAAAAATAAAGAAAGTAACGAATACATTTTACAGCCATGTACTTCTTTTTATAAACATATACTTCTGTTTGCTTTCATTTTCCCTTTTTGGGGGAGGGAAGGAGAAGAATTTGCGTATTTACTATCCTGTGAATCACTATTATCATTGGCACCTTTGCCTCCATTTGTTACACACACGCACATGCTCCTCGTACGTCAATACGCAGAAACGCGCTGCTTTACTCTCTTTTTCATTGTTTACGATTTGCTGTTCTATTCTTATTCACTCACAATGACACCCTATCCGTGTTTTACACTTTGAGTACTAATTTGTTGGGGGGGGGGGTTAAATACACAGCAATTTTAATCTTTCAGTCGGTGTTGTTCTCCTTCCCTATCTATTCTTCATTCCTTTGTATTACCCCCCCACACACACACATACATGCATAATCATGCCTGTGTACAACAAATTAAGAAATTATCAGTTAGTAATGTTGTGGTATTTTTCTTTTTTATTGGCGTGTTTGTTTGACAGTTCTATCATCGTCATATAATTAGAAGAATTGTTGTTATTTTTGGTTAACACAGGTGAGATTATCACATTGTTCTCTTTCTTTCTTACGCAATATATGCGTGTATGTATTTATGTATGTACGTGTTTCTGTTGACCTATATGGTTGTATTATATATATATATATATATATATATATATATATATATATATATATAATTTGCATTGTGTGTACGTGTGTGCATGTGTGTGTTGTGTGTATACGATAATGTTAAAATTAATTAGTTTAGTTTTTTTCTTTGCAGCATATCCTACCCTATTTTCTCGCTTTCCATAGACGACGCATGTACGTGAGAGTATCCCATTCACTAAGATTACCACGCCACTACTACTATTTCTTAGTTTTTTCTCTTTTCTGTATTTTGTGTATGCTTTCAATACCATGTTGTTATATAGTCACTATTACCATAACTGTTACTGCCCCACAGTCATCTCTCTTTGTTTTCATTGTGTTTTTATTTCTCATTATCTCAGATCCTTGTACCTTTATTTGTTTGTTGCATGTATGTGTGTGTGTGGGTGGGTGGGTGTGTGCGTGTGTGTGCAATTTTCCATCCAGTTTTTACCGTTTTAGTATTATTTTTTATCTCATCATCCAAATTTGTCTTCTATTTTGTATTGCTTCATTTCCCGTTTTGTTATTTTCATCTTTCTTTTGTTTTTTACTACTATTCTAAAAATAAATCACAAGTCATAAAATATAGTAGGAAAGTATTTGATTTTTGCTTTCTGTTGTTATCAGCATCATTGTCAGCATCAATCATCTTGTATAACTTGTCAAAGTTGGATTGGATACAATACGTTTGTACTTGAAAGTTAGGCCTTTTTATTTCTTATTGTTAGGTCAGATTTTGTTTTTATTCTCAACAGTTTAGAAATAAAAACAAAGTGGGTAACGAAAAAGAATACTAGAATCAAAAAGACGAAAAAAGATTGAGTAGAAATAGTGTAGCGTCGGTGGCACAGAGGTTAGGACTCTCGCCGACCATGCACATGGTCCGAGGTTCGATCCCCTGCCGATGCACACCTGATATCTATGGTCGGCCTGCAAAATTTGGGTTAGCAATATCACATGCTGAAAATGCCATACTTGTACCAAAATACTGTGTGGAATCAAGCTGTAATCAAAAATAAAGTAAAATAAATAAATATTCGATTCATTGCTTTCATGTAACGAATGCGAACGTCTGTAGCTTACAACATGGTGGAAAGCTCAAAAACCTTGATTTTTTAACCTATTTTCTACATGGACTCCGAAATTCGAAAGGATGGAAATGACGTATGAACGTAATTTGGACACTGGAAATCATGGGAAAGTAGCTCCTGACTTTGTTTCACTGCCTTGGGGATCAGACTTTAACTTGAAGGCTTAGAAGGTGATGGTCCCTTAAGGTAAATCACCTGCTGTTGTCTAAGCACCAGGACAGTATTCCAGCCCACAGAGAAACTATGAAACTTTTGTATGGCCCACCTCTTGGTGCCCGTAATTTTCCAAGTTTGTGCTTTTATTACTAATTCGGCACCTAGCAACAAGATAAGAGGCAAATGAAATGAATGCAATACTATGGATATCTCTACTATTCTCATACTTAACGTTGTTATAGAAACAGTTTCCATTTACCTGGCTACACTCACTTCTGTCTTTTAAATAGCCTGAAAACTATCTAAGATAGCATACAGTTTGCTTAGGTTCCATGGAAAGTGTGGTGTTATCAGACAAAGCACTTAATTTTTTGTATTGAAAAGTGATAGATTATCATCCTTCAGTCCACAGGAAGCTAGAATTGATACTGTGGATTTCTTCACCGCTAACTACAAAATGAAATTCTCAATTATGTTTGTCAAAGTTAATATTTTCACATACGCATCTACATGTGATATGTTAATTATTCTTTCATGTCAATGTACCTAAACATGGTGCATACCATTTAAGTTGACACCTCTTAACTCTATCATTGTGATTCCGAAAATTGCTTAACTCGTAAGCTTGGTCAAAAAGATATCTTTGTCAATGCAGTCTGCATTCTATAAAATCACAAACAAGATCCCAGAAAAAAGATCAGAAAAATACGTATATTTTCAAAATCGACTAGTGTTTGGCGGGCGCGTATCTTGACGTCTTATATCGTCAGTTCCCAGGTATATGGTACGGCTGAATCTCTTTGCTTAATTCAGAAGAGTAAGTTGAAATATCAAAAGACTGTTAGGAGAAATTATATAATTTTATCATCTATGCTTACATTTTTGGATGAATGCCTTGCGAACAATTAAGAATAAGTTCTATCTACAACTCAGTGATCATCTCATTCTGATGTATTTTGGATAGATGTCACAGTACCAGCTGATGGATTGTACTCACTGGTTGAATTTGCAAGCACGAAGGTGCCGATG